CACTCAGCTCGCTATTCTGGAAGACAACACGCGAGTAGGGACGCCACGGGCGACCGAGGTACGCTTTGCCAACCAAAGAGGCGTTGGCCGTGAACACGTTTGCGTGGTTAAAGACGTACCAAGACGGGTTAGACTCGCTCTCGCGTCCATTCGCCGTGACGTAACCTTTTCCGACAACCTCGATGTCGCATTTCTCGAACCACGCTTGAGCGTTCATACCGAAGATGAAGTCGGTAGCACCCCGAATCAATGTGCGGGCATACAACTCGCGACCATTGTGAGCACACAAAGTGTCCTGGTAGCTGGAGAAGTTGCAGGCGTAGAAGCCGTAGTCGGTTCCATTGGCATATACGGCCACCGCCTGACCGACCTTGCCACCAATTTTACCGGCCGTGTTGGCCACGTTGAGGTTGATCATTTTAATATTGCTCGCCGCGAGACCCAACGTACTGGTTGCCCAGTTGCGGTCTCCAGTCACATTGAGCGGAATGTCTCTTTGTGCCTTCGCCTGGGTGATCGTGACCTGGTTGTCAGCGTACGATTCCGTGTTACAGGTGTAACCTTGTAGCACGAGAGGCCCCGCCAGCGGTGTGATGAACACCTGCTCGTGATAAACGCCCGGGTAAAGGAAAATGGTCTGCTCTTCCGTCGTATTGGCCAGGTTTGACACGCCCTCCGCTAGCGTCCGGAAGCTTCCATTGTACGCGCCCATGGAATCGACAACGATGGCACCAGGTGAAGGAGTGATGCGTGCGTTGACGCCACTGCATGTGGTATTGATATCGGCTGCAGAGATAGTGACGAGGCTGCCAAGCACTGCGAGCAGCAAGGTGAAAGGGTGCATTGTCCGTAGAGCTTGCTCGAGAAGAAATGGAAAAATGAGAAACATATTCTGTTAGTGCACATTGCAACTACCATAATCTATGTATGATTATGAACACATATTAACATATAATAGAGATCTTTGTCGGTAATCCGGATTTCACGTTCATACTATCAACATGTTGTCGCATTGGCAACGACACCGACAACAGATGAGGGAAATGCGAACTATAAGGCAGAGATTCAGTTTTCTGTAATACTACTACTGTAGAAGGGTTTACCTTTTGTCAACGATGCTTAACATCTTGAAAGTGACAAAAAAGATGGAGAGAAAACATAGCTGTGAATTATATTTCGACGATTGCGCTGTAATTTACTGCCAGAAAATGTTGAGAACATAACAAAGTTCAATTTGTTTATTGTAATTAACGGTCCGTGGTATCTCAAAAGCTATCGTCGTGTGCTTGTAACGTGCCGCATGTCCGTGTTACATTTTCCTTGCGGACATTACATGTTCACTAGGAAATTGCGTGTATTAAAATATAATCGCATGCTGGTGTATTGTATGTTTTGCTAAATTTAATTTGTTATTTCTTTCAATAGCTTATTTTACATACAGGCATATTATATCTAAGCTCGCTTAAACAGATTCGAAGCAATAGTTTGCGCTGAGGGCAGAAAACAGTTATAAAAGTCCTGCGTGACGCGCTTTACATATAGGCTAACTCTAACCCAATGAAACGAACCAAAATAATGGCAAAATGTTATTTTTTTTATCTGACAAGAGAAGTATCACTCCCGGACAGTAATCGATACAGCCCCTAAATCGGTCCGATACAATTACTGTTTGAAGAGATGTTATTGTACGCGAATGCTCACTCGTGATATCCGATCGCAGCCACACCAAAGGCACATATTGGTAGAGGAAAGAGAATCGTTGCCTCTCCCTTTACCGCATTCAAAACGAGCAAGAACTTGTTCCTTCAGTCTTCATTTCTCGACGCTCAAATTCAAAGTCAAGTCCAGTAAACCAGCCGATTTAAGCACGATCATGCCGTCGAAGCCATCCCGTTAGCTCGCGCGATCACTTCAAAAGGGCTCTTCGGTATATGCAAGACGAGTGTGTTTCACTCTCGAGAGCTGAGGCGGCATTTGGTGTTTCAAGACTTCTCTCCATCGCCGTGCTACAGGTGCGGTGCCGGTTGATGCTCGCAAGGGAAGGCAGGCTATTCTGGCGACGCAGGATGAAGCAGGTATCGTGGAGGTGATACTTCTGCGGTTGAAACACGGCCTTTGCATGAAGGACAACGAGCTTCGTATCTTGGCGAGACGTGTAGCTATTGAGAAACACGGAACGTTTCCAGACTCGTTTTCTTCGAAGAAATGGTCTCTTCGCTTTGTCAAGCGCCATGGTGATGTGATCACTCGAAAATGCTCTCAAATTCTTGATGCCAAGCGTTATGAAATGTCAACTGAGGAGCGTTTGCGTGACTACCACGCCAACCTGCAAGATGCAATGCAAGGGCTGCTTCTTGGACAGGTTTTGGAACTGTGATGAGATCGGACTCTGCCCTCAAGGAAGAAAAACACCAAGGGTTATATGCTCCAAAGGGATGAAGGCTAACGTGGTTCGATCCAGTGATCGAGAGAACGTCTCTATCATGGTGTGTGTGAACGCTGCGGGAGACCAATTACCGCCGATGTTCATTTTCCAGGAAAACGAAAACATTTGAGCTGGATGGATGAGACCGACGACGAGGCTAAGCGCGCCGTTAGCGATTCTCCAAACATAAACGGCTTTCTTTTCCTGCATTGGCTGAAGTTTTCGACGCCCGCTTGACCAAACGGAATGCAGCCAAGCCAGCTATTCTCATTTTGGATGGCCATTTTTCTCATGTCAACGGCCCTGTTTTTGAGTTCGCTGAAGCTAACCAGATCATGATCTTCGTCTTGCCGTCACGCACGAGCCATTTCACGCAATATCTCGATGATGCCGTTTTCTCAGCACTAAAGAGGAACTATGAGAAACAACTCGAAGACTTTTCGCTGAGGCTCGGCCAAGCACAGTCCACCAAGCATAAACCTGCTGCGTTGGTAACGAAGGCCTGGAAGGGCGCAGTGACGATGTCAACCTGCCTCTCGGCATTTCGAAAAGCAGGGATCGTGCCGCTGTGTTTGGAAATGATGCTACAGCGCATTGTGGGGAAACAACCCGTCGTGACCGACCTCCCTCATGTTAACTACATTCGTAGTTTGCCCGATCCATTTCCAGGACAAGAGCGCCAACTTAAATGGGGAGGTATCGACCACAACGCACTGAAAGCTACGTG